GTGTGTGTGTGTGTGTGTGTGTGTGTGTGTGTGTGTGTGTGTGTGTGTGTGTGTGTGTGTGTGTGTGTGTAAAATGCAATAGATTTCAAAAAGCTTGATTTTGAAATTATGTTGCTATAAATCTTGTTTTCAATTATCGCTAAAAATACATGTATGTGAAAGCAGAAAAGTTTTACTGTGCCTCGGTTATTTATTTTAATATTCTTAGTTTCATATTGCAACAGAAGTTATCGACGTGTTTCTTATTTTGGTTGGGGATACATAAATTTATCTTGCTTGATGTATCGCGGTATCAAGGTTGTTGCGTTGGTCCAACCATCACAAAATTTTATGTCCTCTCTTGATCTTAAAGGTCATCGCGAATTACGTTGATATGATCTAATGCGCGCATAGACATTCTAGCGACTACGCAGTTGAGCAATTTCAAAGTAAAATCCATTTGGCACCGATGAGATCTTGACTTGATTATTTTAATTATGCTAATGGATATTAATGAGAACAGACAAATGCACATAGTTGATTATGTCATGCTATTAATAAGCAATTAAATGTGGTTTAATATTATAATTTAATATAGTTATCTATATATGTTGCATGAGCAATTTTTCGAAAATATAACTTATTCACAAAATTTTATATTATAAAATCTTGTGAATAAAACACCTCAAATTACTTCATAATAAAAATATTTCCGTATTTATCATTTGCAGAAATCCAAGATCTGATTAATAATATCCAATAAGATTTGAAAATAGAAACTAAAGACAATGGAAGGAGAATCGGAAAACAATTCTCTCAATAAAGATTCCAAACCAATTACTTGGCCGTACATGAACGTCAGCTCGCTAACTATATCGTTTCTGACTAAACTGGCGGCGGCTGGTATCATCTGGGGATGGGGATACTTCAACTATAGCATAGCCTGGTTGATTGCGCCAATCGCGTTTTCCGTATGGAAAGCAGAACGGAAAAGAGACAACGAATTAAGAACAATTACAGCACAAGCCAGTGTGCTGGTTAAAGAAAAGGAATTGATCGTCAGTCGAATGAATGAATTACCCTCATGGGTGTATTTTCCGGACTTTGATAGAGCCGAATGGCTAAACAGAGTATGAGTCTTTTATGTTATATTCTAGAAATCATCTTCAAATAAAATATAGATATTAAATTGCTTAACGGTTTCAGAGAAGAGAATCTTAATTGTCATAATTTTATATCCCACACTTTCAGATCTTATATAAGGTATGGCCAAGTATGAATCAGTTTGTCCGTCAGCTATGTAAGCAAAGTATAGAACCGTCGATTGTTGAAAAACTGACTGAATATAAAATCAAAGGTTTTCAATTTGACCGTCTAGTCTTGGGTCGCATTGTGAGTTTATTTCAATTCTTTTTAAAGTCATGCAGCATTTCTCTCTTTTATATTTCTATAATTTTTATAATTTTTATACTTTTTCTAAAATCTATAAAATGATCTTTTACAGCCACCAAAAATTTATGGGATCAAAGTATATGATAAAAATACCTCAAGAAATGAGATCATCTTAGATGCAGATATTATGTGTGTACTCTAACTTTTTACAAAATATATTAATATCTTTGAAAATCATCTATTCCAACTATTATTTTTTATAGGTATGCTGGTGACTGTGATATTACCTTTTTCGTTGGAAATATCAAAGGTGGTATTAAAGATTTTCAAGTAAGTATATTAAAAGTCAATATACAATTATGGAAATTTTTTGCAATTTTTAATAAAAATATAAAAAATTTTAGATACATGGTTTAGTCCGCGTTGTTATGAAACCTATGCTGCCCATGATGCCGTTAATCGGAGGTGTACAGATATTTTACTTGAATGTTCCTACTATTAACTTCAATTTAGTAGGAGTGGCTGATGTACTAGATCTACCTGGATTCAAGTATGTGTTTTTTTTATATAAAAAATTTCACTCTAAAACTGATATAACAAGCAATTAGTATTATTAATTGAACAATAATACTAAACAAAAGCATGATGCTTTTTTCAGTGAAATTTTAAGAAAGACAATCATTGAACAGATATCAGCCATAGTTGTATTGCCAAACAAAATAATTATACCTTTAAGCGAAGAAATACCTATGGAGTCTCTAAAAATACCTGAACCCGAAGTAAGTTTTGCAAAAATATTTATATATATTGTATTCTTACTTTTTTTTGCAATTAACATTTTAATTTTTTTTTATTTTAGGGTGTTCTAAGAATTCATGTTGTAGAAGCAAAGCATCTGATGAAAAAAGATATTGGAATGCTAGGTAAAGGCAAATCTGATCCGTATGCCGTTATAAATGTTGGTGCCCAGGAATTCAGAACGAAAATAATTGACAATACTGTTAATCCAAAATGGGACTACTGGTGTGAGGTATGTGTGATATTTCATAAATACAAAAACAAATTCTTATTGTTTAATGCATGTGCTTTATTGTAATCTATCGATATATATTCTTTAAAAAATAATACAACACAAGGTCTTCCATGTATGTGGTAAGAAAAATATTTTAGCAATTTACAAAATAAACTTTTTTAAGAACTAGAACTTTTCTACAGTCTATAGTTCATCATGTTACTCCACTTAATTAATGATATAAATGAGATATACCACTCTCTTGCATTTAACTTTCTTATAAAAATATAGATAAGTATATAATTTATATAATATTTATAAATATTTAATACATTGCTGCTCTAGCGTTTTCTAAATAATCAACTCCCTGCTTTCTTACATATAATTTACATATACATATAAATTCTAATCAACCACAAACACTTTTTTTTCCGCGATTACATTCCCATTTCCTATCATTCATAGTGGTTAGTGTTGCCTTTTCCAGACTGCAATTAGAATACATTTTAATCTTTCTATGTTAATATAATTTAATTTCATAAGTTGGTATGTATGTGTGTATGTGATGTGCAATATATTATATGGGATTAGTGTGCCGTGACTTCAGCCATCGCGCAACAACTGACTGTACTGCTGTGGGACTATGATGACACAAAGGGCGATGAAAGGCTTGGAAGGTATAGTTATATATAACATTATATGGATTTTTTCTTATTTCATTATTCATTTCAGATTTCATATCATTATACAAGGACGAATATTCAAAATTAAATTTTATTATATATATAT